TTTGCCAGAGTGTCTTGGCTTTCCTGCCTAAATACTCTCATGGGCTCTTCAGCCAGTTCTGAATGCCTTAAGGGCTGATTCTGAGGCCGAGTGAGTGCTATTTAGGACATCTGCCATTCTATGGTCTGCTGTGTATCCCGCTTCCCATGATGGATCATTCTTCTTTTTGATTCTATCAGTTAGTATTAGCAGACACTAGTCTTGTTTGTGTGATCCCTTTGACTCTTAGACCTATCAGTGTGATCAATTGTGAACTGAATGATTACTTTGGCTAGTGGGATTCTGTAGCACAAGTATGGAGTTTCAAGAGAGTCTTAAGTCTCAAAATTGGAAGATTCAACTGGGAGAGACATAAAACTGTGACTGCATGGCAACCTTGTCTTTGACAGGTGTCCTTGCCCACCTGTGGTCTGTAGAACAATGACTTAAAAATCACTGAATGCTTTCCTTTATTCCAAGGCAATAGTAGGGATAGTAGCTAATTCAGTGCAATGAGCCTTTGTTCTCAAGAAGCACATGGCCCTAAGGTAGCTATGTAGTAAGAGTTTGCTGAATGAAAATGTGCTTATCACTTTATATACAATGTGTCATTTAATCCCTCCACCTACCATTATTATGGGGATACTTGGTTTGTCTGTTTGTGACTAAGATTGCTGGGAGCAGCTGCGTACCTGGCTCCAAGTCCCATGAGCCCTGGGCTGTGGTCAGTATGAGATGGCAGAACCACCACTGGGCTCTGCTCCTCTGGCAGACACGTGGATGCTTTTCCTGAGAACGGAGGGATATTCAGTCCTTTGGACCCCGCAGCCTTTTTAAACTTCTTTAACTGTGATTAAAATAACACGAGGCTTAGTCATGAAACTTTGAGCAAGAGCTGGTGCTGAGTGAGGTGTTCTCTGCCATACTGGGTATATGAAACTATTTGACCTGTTATTTAATTCGTTATTGAACTTGTTATAGCCTGTATTCACATATGCATAGTGGGCAAGAAATTAACCTTAGAGAAGTAGAATTAGGGCTGATAAACTCAAGTAAGTCCTTGGGAGAGAGTGAAGCCCTGTGTAATTGACTTTATATGAGTATCTTTATTGCCTTGCACATGATAGGTGTCTGATACATGTTTGTTGAATAAATGAATAAAGGAGCACTTTGAAGTGATGAAAGGAAGAAGCCCCTCCCTACCCCCTCCTGCAAAAGACAGTTTATAAGCACCACGAGGCTACTCAGGAAGTCACAAAGTTCTGCCCTTAAAGTGCAGGACCTGGGGGGGTGCTTGTGCTGGCAGTTCAGATGGTTCCTAAGACATCCACATGGCTGGCACCGCAGCTCACTAGGCTAATCCTCCACCTGCAGTGCCGGCACCCCAGGTTCTAGTCCCAGTGGGCAGGATTTCCCACTTGCTCCTCTTCCAGTCCAGCTCTCTGCTGTGGCCCAGGAAGGCAGTGGAAGATGGCCCAAGTGCTTGGGCCCTGCACCCGCATGGGAGAGCAGGAGGAAGCACCTGGCTCCTGGCTTCAGATCCGTGCAGCGCTGGCCACAGTGGCCATTTGGGGGGTGAACCAATGGAAGAAAGACCTTTCTCTCTGTAAAAAGACATCCACATTCCAATCAGAGTACCTAGGCTTGCTTGCCAGCTCCACTTCTGATTGCAACTTCCTGTTAGTATGCACCCTGGGAAAACAGGTGATGAATCCAGAAGTAAGGGTCCTGCTACCCATGAGGGAGTCCTGGATTGAGTTTCCCAGCTCCCAGCTTTGGCCTGGCTAAGCCCTGGGCATTGCAGGCATTTGGGAGAATAAACCAGCAAATGGGAGATGTCCCTGCCTCTCTCTCCTGAGAAATACATGCATACAAAGAAGTCAAGGTCAGGATCAGGCTGGTGCCCAATAGTTTCAGTGTGCTCTTTTTTTTTTTTTTTTTTTTTTTTTTTTTAGAGCAGGTTTGGGTGCCATTTGCACAGATGGTAGGGGTCCAGGATAACTGGGTGTCTGACTATAGCTCCTCAGGGGGCAGCCTTGATTCTTGGCATCACATGCCGCCTCCCCATGACCCTCCCCCTGCTGACAACCCACACTGACCTCCTTCCTGTTCCTGCTGCTCAGCTCAGGCCTGGCCATTGCGAGGGCTGGGGCTGCATGCGCACACGAACTTCCCGTAACAGGATCCAACTGCTAATCTGCCATCATTTACAGCGGCTGCTGAAGGAACTGCTTCCTTCCTCTTTTCTGGAGCAGATCTGATGTCATAAAACTGACCATGATAGTCTGCTAAGTGAAAAGCTGGGAGCACACAGTAGGAGTGTGGTTGGTGGAGTGATGGGAGCCTGCTATGGGCAAGATGGCCCTCCTGGGTGGGATGGGAAGGAAAGGCAGGGGCAACCTCAGAAATGTAGCAGAGCTCCTGAAATGGGATCAACAAGGAAGAAAAGAAGGCAGGAAAAAGCAGTCAGTCCTATTTGGTACCATAGCACTGCATACCCTGGGGCAGCTGTAGTGCTGGCTCAAGCAGCTGGGTCCCTGCACCCGCATAGGAAACCTAGAAAGAGTTCCCAGTTCCTGGCTTGGACCCTGCCCAGCATTGCCCTGGTTGTAGGCATGTGGGGAGTGAAACAGTGCATGGATGCTCTGTCTCTACTTTCTCTACTCCTCCCGTTCTTCCCTACATTCTGCTGAGGACCAGTTGGGACTTACTTGGTTTGCCATCAGCAGTAGTTTCCCCCTTCCTGCCTGGGGTGTCTTCAGAGCCTGTCTGGAATATCCAGAGTCCAAAGTGGCAACCTTTGGTTAGGAGAGGTCTTAAAACACTCAGACCAACCCTGCGTCTCACTTAGAGTCTTATCTGTTAAGTTAAAAGCTGACCAGTCTAGAAGCAAAACCAAAAGTGAACACAGTGCACGTACATACGGGTGTTTTACCAGAATGCTATGAACCGTATCTTAGGAGCTTGTAAAGCGGCTGCTTATCCCTAGCCTGCAGCAGAGGGCAGACTTTCCTACCTATAAACGCCCCAACAACCAACAGTAAAGGTCTCTAGACTCAGGAGCGTCCAGACACGAGACCATCCGGTGGGTAAAATGGTGGGTTTGCAGGGTGACTGCCAACCGGTGAGTTAGGGAGAAAAAAGGAAAACCACTTCCTGGCTTTTTAACACGCTCACCAGCTTTCCAGAGAAATGCCCTAATGGCCATTAAATCTGGCAGTGATCCCCAGTGCCCACATCCACTGCCGGTGGAGTAGCTGTGCTTAGTTCGGTATTGTGGTAGCCAGCGAGATGGCAATAGATGGTGCTGTGTCTGAAAAAATATCACCAGGGTGCTGAGCCCAACTCCAGCTGCAATCGACGCCTTTAAAAGTGTGGAGAAGACTCGAGGGTAACAGGGGACTAGGACTGGATTCTGGCTAACGTGTGTAAGAAGACCTGTCTGGTGTCGGGAAGCCATAGCTCTGTAAGTTCTGGAAGAGAGGAGTGGAATGTCCCCTGTCCCACACTGGTCCCATCCAGGTAGGGGCAGACTCTCCTTTGCGTTGGGTTGGTTTATGGGACCCAAGAGTCTGCTAAGTATATTATGATCAGCCAAGAAGTTGAATTCTATGAGAATATCAACCCAACTCAGAAAAAAGGATTCCAGCCCAGTCATTAGAAGCCCTGGGACTGTCATCCTAGTGAGCTTCTCACCAGTGTCTGTCCACTCCCCAGTCCCCACTCCGTGGCAGGATTTGGGAGGAAAAAGTTTGCCCTTCTGGGTCATCTCATGGACATTTTCTTTCCTTTGTCTTTCCCTCTTCCCCTGCTAGTATGAAGAAGGGAAAAAAGCGAAGGAAACCTAACTACAGCAGCGTTGACCTCTCTGAGGTGGAGTGGGAGGACCGAGACGATGTGGTAAGTGACCTGCTGCAGGCCTCACGGGAGGGCTCCCCTGCACCCACTGCTGTGCCGGAGCCTGTGCCGGGAGCTGGCCAGGAGGCCCCCCAGAGAGCTTACCTGGCCAGCAGGGGCATGTGGAGACAAGGGCACTTTGAGCAGGTTTGGGGTTGTGTAAATCCTGTTGGAGAGCTGCAGACTAGCCAGCCATTCCAGGTGCTTGGGCATCCCTGGGCGGATTCTGGTCCTGTCTGCAGCCGATTGATCCAGGACCCTCCCCGGTACAATTCACGGGAGCTGCCGTCATCACTGTAGTCAGGGCACCTGCGGGCCACGCAGGTAGGCTCCCAGGCAGCCAGACTCCTCCTGTCTGGGAGACAGCCCAGGGCTTTGCAGACTCCCATTCCTTCTGCATGAATGGCTGCCCATCTTCCGCACCTCCCCAGCCTTTCCCCTCTGGCTCCGGCCGGGGTCTCAAGGGCAAACTGTGCATCTCCCCTCCCCCAAATTCAGCCTCGGGTACTGTATCCAAGCTTTCCTCCCGCCTCGGGACTTAACCCCATCAAGCCTTCTCGTTACTTCCTCAATAAATCGGATCTGTTAGACCGGCTGCCTTTGTGTGAATCCAGGTGGACTGTCCTTAATTAAATCGTAACGTCACCAGGGTGTTCCGTCTGGGCCTTCTCCTTCACTTTTCTGAGTCCCCTGCCCTCCCCCACAGACTTGTCCAGGGTCTTTTCTTCCATTTCATCACCAGGGTAGCACAGTTTCCAGCTCCTGCTCTGAACTGCTGGCCAAAGAGGTAGTGAGGAGCAGCACCTGCAGCCCCAGGCAGGTCCCCTTGCCTTCCAGAAAGGGGGCCGGCATCAGCCCTCTCGCCGCAGCCCACCTTCTGTTCACATCCTCTGCTCCCTGCACCGTCTCAGTGAGCCATAAATCTGAGTTCCTTCCTCGCTGTGAAAGTGCAAGAGGCGTATCTGTTTTAGAAATTTACCCTACTTCCTTCTTCATCTGCACTAAGTCTTTTTAAACCCAAGTTCAGACAAAAATAAACTCTGCTATTTGATAAAAGCTACTTCCGCATCTGCTCTGCTTTCCCCACGTGCACCAGCCAGACATCGCGTCAGCTCTGTGACCTCGCGGAGTTTGATACCTTCTTATCTTATTATTCCTACAACGTTGTCACCAGCGTCCTGTCCATGGGGGATTGTGCTGCGCCTAACGTACAGCTGATTCCTTGGCATTGCTCAGGCGTTACTCTCAGGGTTCAAATCCCACTGTAGTGGCTTGCTGGCTGTTTGTCTCCAGAGAACAGCTTTCTCTACACACCTCAATTTTGGCTTGTTTTAAAGATTGCTTGATTTATTTGCTTGAAAGGCAGAGTGACAGAACGAGAGAGATCAATCTTCCATCTGCTAGTTCTCTCCCCAAATGGCTGTCATAGTGAAGACTGGGCCAGTAACTCCATCTTTGTCTCTCACAAGAGTGGCAGGGGAGCCGACTACTTGACCATCTTCTGCTGTCTTCCAGGTGAATTAGCAGGGAGCTGGACTGGAAGTGGAACAGTCTTGGACTTCCAGTGGGCACACTAAATATGGGATGCCAGTGTTGCAAGGTGGCAGCTTAATCTGCTATGCCCCAACACCAGCCCCCTTGGTTTTGTTTTCGTGCTGTGGATTTTTTTTTCTGTCACAATCAGTATGGTTGTTCCTACCCTCCTAGAGCTGTTGTGAGGATTAAGGAACTAAAATATTGAAAGGCGTGAAAGCGCCTGCCCCACCGCATGCAGCTGATGAGCCTCCACGAGGGGTCGCCATTATTAGTGTTAGCTTCACCATCCTCACGAACCCTCAGCTCCTGTGCCCTTTCTGGGCCTCCCTGGGCTCGTGAATCTTTGAAGGGTGGCTCCCCTTGATTCTCCCTCTTTACCAAGTCCACTCAAACCGTTGCTTTCTAATTCATTTGGACCTCCCTGGATTCTTGGGTTTCCGTTCCCAGAGAGATGGAAACGTCACCAGACTGCTTCTCCATCCCGCCCTCATTTCTGTTTTGATGAAGAGAGGCGGCCAACTTGATTGCATTTGTCCTCCTATGGAGTGCCCCTGTCCAGGAAGCACACCCTCCACTGGGTAGCACCAAGCCCGTTCTCTCTGTCCTTCACCAGCTGCTAGAAGACATTTAGTACTCACTTCCCTCTGCTTACCGCCCACACCCCAGCCAGTATCCCCTTTTACAACTCATGGTGTGGGAATGCTTTTTTTTTTTCTCCTCCTCCTGGGCCTGTTTTCTGTTCTCATCAGAGCACAGTATCCTGTGCATGTTCTCCATCTTCCCATGACTCACAGGATGGGGACACGGGCTGTCCACCTTCAGAATTCCAACACCTCTACACGCCCAGGTCTTTGGTCTCTGGTTATCTCTGTGGTTTGGGTCTCTTGTCACCTTGGGAACATGGTGCTTTTGAAATGCAACTTACTTCACTACCAACATGTTTGATGTGGGATAACCCAAGGCACCATTTCTTCCCTGGGGGTTTGCACCCACTGATTAGAGTCTTCTTGAATCTATACAAAGCATCTGTGTGAAGTCTGCGTAAAATCCCACATGCCCAGATGCTGGCCGTGGGGTTTTCTTAAAAATAGCAGAGAATGGGGAAAAGACCATGGAAGCAGAGCTCCCGGAGGAAGCAGCAGCAGAGTGTGCCCAGCTGTAGAAAACTTGGATGCAGTGTCCTGTTTTCTTGGGTGACTAGGCGCTTGTTGCATCTGATGGCCGTATTTATAGCAAAGGCACTGCACGCTTCCAAAAAATGATGTAAGATCCCATAGGCTGTTAGAACATGTGCAAAATAGACTGGCCAAAATTAATATAAGAGGAATAGGATGGGACTTCTGTCCCAGTCCTCAGGATGAGTTAGGCACTGTGTCAACAACACAATGGGTAGGGAACATCTTTGGGGGAGCCAGGAGCCAGCAGGGGACCGTGAGACACACACAGCTCCATCTGAATTCTCAGCGTGGATCACCTCTGGGAAGGAAAAATTATCTTCACCATGTTTACCCTTTGGTTTAAATTCCCAGGGATGACAGAAGGAATTAAGGATGATTTCTGGTTTATTCCTATTACATCTGAGCTATTACCAAACTTTCTGCAGTGAACACAATTATTCCTATAAATAGAGGACTTTGCTATTAAAGAACTCATGAATTATAACTACCTTTTACTGAACTCTTCCTACAAGTTGTATTGTTCTAAGTGCATTTATTTCTCACAGCAATCCTATGAGGTATGTGTAATTGTATCCCCATTTTATAGATGTGGAAACTGAGGCACGAAACAGTGTAATGGTCTGTGGGCACGTAGTATGGATTCCAGCTCAGGCAGTCTGACTCCCTAGAGCTATGCCCTTGACACTTTGTAATGCCCCAGAGGGATCCCTTGAGTCCTTGAGGATCTTTTTTTTTTTTTTTTTTTTTGACAGAGTGGACAGTGAGAGAGAGAGAGAGAGACAGAAAGGTCTTCCTTTGCCGTTGGTTCACCCTCCAATGGCTGCCGCGGCTGGTGTGGTGCAGCCGGCGCACCGCGCTGATCCGATGGCAGGAGCCAGGTACTTCTCCTGGTCTCCCATGGGGTGCAGGGCCCAAGCACGTGGGCCATCCTCCACTGCACTCCCTGGCCACAGCAGAGAGCTGGCCTGGAAGAGGGGCAACCGGGACTGAATCCGGCGCCCCGACCGGGACTAGAACCCGGTGTGCCGGCGCCGCTAGGCGGAGGATTAGCCTAGTGAGCCGCGGCGCCGGCCGAGGATCTCTATCATCGCCCATGGTAAAAGAGTTCTTCTCTGAGAGGTGCAGAGAAAATGAGTGCTTTGCAAACCAGAGTGATTGCTCACCTGCTCTTGTTGCAAATCCTGCACCACAGACTCTTCCTTGAATCTCTGCGAGGTCTCCTGGTGCAGCGTAAGCCTTTTTCCTACTGCCCCCGTCACCTCATGTTTCTTGTTAACCCATAATGACTCTCGTGGAAAAGTCCCTTGAGTCCTTTCTTCCCAAAGCCCTAGGAACCTTGTATTTCCCAGATCTTTGACCATTTAACTTTTCTTCTTTAAACCCTCTGCAGGATCTGTCCAGCGCATGCTTGAGCTCTGGACCCCTGAGGCAAGCACAGCCCACCCTGAGAGCCCAGGCTGCTGTAGGGGTGAGGGAAGGAGAGGGAGTGAGATTTTGTTGCTAGGTGCTATGTGCCCGAGTCTGTTTTCAAATGCTGATTGAAGCTTGTTTGGGAATGACTGGCGTGTTGGTCCACTGCATCTTATCCCATTTGATCTGCTGGCCTGGCCAGGCTCACGTGTCATTAAAGGGTTTGGAAGTACATGGCACATGTGTACTGGGAAAGGTGAGATTTGTGTTCCGATGTGGACACCCAGGTTGCATTAGGAGGCTGAGCCGTCAATCCATAATTCCACCACAACCTATGGTGGCCACTAAGTTTCTCAGGCAGGCTTCCCTAGAGGGCTTTGCGTGGGAGATAAGAGCAGCAGGCTCGTGATGGAAGGGCATCGTGGGCTTCAGCATTCCAGAAAGAGGGATTGCCAGGGGCTCTGGGGGAAATGCATCTGAATGGGCAGCTCAGGCCCCGGAGACCAGGGAAGCTGACTACTGCAGCCATATTCTGATACGCAGTTCAACAGGGTCCCATGATTTATTGAGGACGGGTGCTGACAGCTGCTTTAATGCCCTCTGTGTTAGCACGTTGCAGATACTTGGTATCCAATAGGGACAAAAGAAGGGTACTGCGTATGTCTCATTGAGGTTCTTAATTTGCCTTCCTTTGTGTGTTAAGATACACTCTGCACATGTGATTTTTCATGACCATACCCTAACATACTGGCATACCGAAGGCCTTGTTTGGAGGTTTTCCTATGCCAGGCTTTTTTGCAATTTCCTAGTTGCTCCCTGTTGTCAGTGCAGGTAGTGGCTGGTTCAAAAGCCCTTGGGACCACTCAGAAACGGTGCCTTCCTGTGCTCCAGGGGGACTGAGAGCGCTGTTATACCCTTCTCTTTGGACTGGTTCTCAGTCCCTCTGCCATCTCGGAACCTCAGGGCACCCCTGACTTAAGTGATTCTGGGTGCATTGCTTCTCTTCTAGGGCCTTCCGCCTCCTCAGAAGGAACAGACATTTCCGGAATGCTGCAGCCTCACAATGCTGTGCTTGCATCTTGGAGCATTCTGTTAGAAAATCAGCAAACCCCTTTCCCTCCTGGCAGGAAGGGCACGAGCACCTTCCCATCACTCCAGGATCACAGGGCTTGGACTAACGGAAGAGACTATGCAAGATTAAAACTTCAGACTGGGGCTGGCGCCGTGGCTCACTTGGTTAATCCTCTGCTTGCAGCGCCGGCATCCCATGTGAGCACCGGGTTTAGTCCCGGTTGCTCCTCTTCCAGGCCAGCTCTCTGCTGTGGCCCGGGAGGGCACTGGAGGATGGCCCAAGTGCTTGCACCTGCATAGGAGACCAGGAAGAAGCACCTGGCTCCTGGCTTTGGATAGGCGCAGTGCCGGCCGTAGCGGCCATTTAGGGAGTGAACCAACGGAGGAAAGACCTTTATCTCTGTCTACAACTCTACCTGTCAAATAAATAAAATTTTAAAAAATTAAAAAGAAAAGTTTGAGTAAAGAAAATTATTTAAAAAAACTTCAGACTGGCATGGTCACTTTATTTTTTTTTAAGATTTTAAAATTTATTTTAGAGGCATGGTTACAGAGAAAAAGATGGAGAGACAGAAAGGTCTTCCATCCACTGGTCCACTCCTCAAAAGGCCACAATGGCCAGAGATGTGCTGATCCCAAGCCAGGAGCTAGGAGCTTCTTTGAGGGTCTCCCATGCTTGTGCAGGGGCCCAAGGGCTTCAGCCATCTTCTACTGCTTTTTCCAGGTCATTAACAGGGAGCTGGATGGAAGAGGAACAGCCTGGGCTAGAACTGGCACCCATATGAGATGCCAGCGTCACAGGCAGAGGCTTAGCCTGCTACACCAAAGCACCCACCCTAACATGGTCACTTTTTAAGACTGGTTTCTTGATTAAAAAAAGAAATCTAGGAATGACAGTATATAATTTTATATCAACACTGTACAGACTTTAATTTCATCCAAGTGCTTTCTCTCCTGACTTGGGAAGCAGAGGTTAAGAATATGAGCTCAAGAGGCAGAGAGGCTATGTAACCTGAGACAGTTCCCTTAACCCATGCCTCAGTTTCCCCACATGTAGAAAGGGGTCTATAATAATGGTAGGTTTTAAAACTTGTGCCTCACACATTGTAGGAATGCAGTAAACAGTATCTTTCAGTATTATTTAAGCAATATAAAAATCTTCTAGCCACTTTTTTTTTTAACAGCACCAGACAGGATCCCTGGGTTCTGGGAGTCCTCACTCAGGGACACTCTTGACAGAGTAAAAGAAAAATGAAGTCGTTGAGACACAGAGAGGTCACGGGACAGCTGGTTTGTGTCAGTAGCCAAACTTGAACCTTGATATCCTGGGTCACCTCCCTTGACTTGGACTGCATCCTTTTCTGTCTGTGTCCACACACAGGTGGTTAAGTGAGGCAATTCCCTTGGGGCTGGCATTGCATGGCATAGTGGGTTAAGCCACTGCCTGTGTGTGGGTGCCAGTTGGAGTTCCAGCTGCTTCACTACCAGTCCAGCTCCCTGCTGATGGCCTGGGAAAGCAGTAGAAGATGGCCCAAGTGCTTGGACCCCACGTGGGAGACCTGGAAGAAGCTCCTGGCTCTTGTCTTTGACCTGGCCCAGCCCTGGCTGTTGAAGCCATTTGGGGAGTGCACCAGCAGATGGACGATCTCTGTCTTTCTTCCCCTCCTCCCTCCACCTGCCCAGTAACTCTTCCTTTCAAGTAAATAAAATAGATCTTTAAAAAAAAAAGAGAGAGAGGCAGCTTTCAACCCAGGTAGTTGGGGGAAAGGTCACAAAATCCATTTAGGACTCATGAGCAGCAACTAGAAGTGGTAGAACCCACTAAAATGGGTTACAGAGGGCTTCATCAGAGTAAAATATATTTCTTATGTGGCTCCTAGTTTAAAACAAATTGATTTGGAGTGTGGGCATTTGTAGTAAGCACATTTGAGTTTCACTCCCAGTTCCTTAAGCTATTGAAAGGTATCTGACTCTCAGTGAAAGTGAGAAAGATGATTATGACAATGACGATTCTCCTGATGCTGCTGAGAGTGGTGACAATGGTGATGCTGACGCCAGGAGCGTCAGGTAACACATATGATAGCTAATGTCCACCAAGGGCTTAGCACCTACCAGCTGCTCATCTCATTTCTGAGTCATCTAAACCCCATGAGAGCCTTACAAGATGATTGCTGTTGGTTGGCGCCGCGGCTCAATAGGCTAATCCTCCACTTAGTGGTGCCGGCACACCGGGTTCTAGTCCCGGTTGGGGCGCCGGATTCTGTCCCGGTTGCCCCTCTTCCAGGCCAGTTCTCTGCTGTGGCCCGGGAGTGCAATGGAGGATGGCCCAAGTGCTTGGGCCCTGCACCCCATGGGAGACCAGGAGAAGTACCTGGCTCTGTCTCTCTCTCTCACTGTCCACTCTGCCTATCAAAAATAATTAAAAAAAAAAAAAGATGATTGCTGTTAATAGGTCCATTTTGCAGAACAGGAACTTGAGGCACAGAGAAAGTGGGTGATTTGCCTAGGATCATAATACTCTGGCTCAAAGGTCTTCTTTTTGTTTTTGTTTTATAAGAACCAGTGTCCACTGGGGCTTCTTTTCTTTTTTTAAAGATTTATTTTATTTACTTAAAAGGCAGAGTTACAGATGGGGGGTAAGGAGAGAGAGAGAGAGAGACAGAGAGACATCTTCTAATCACTGCTGATTCATTCCCCCAAATAGCCACAACAGCCGAGGCTGGGCCATGCTAAAGCCAGGAGCCAAGAACCCCATCCTGGTGTCCCACAGGGATGGCAGGGATGCAAGCACTTGGGCCGTCTTCTGCTGCTTTCCCATGCACATTATCAGGGAGCTGCATCAATAGTGGAACATCCAGGACCTGAACCGGTGCTCATATAGGATGCTGGTGTCGCAGGTTGCAACTTCACCTACCGCACCACGATGCCAGTTTCTTAGCTGCAGTGCTGTCTTGCCGCGATAGTAGGAGTGTGGCCTCGAAGTATAACCTCTTTTCATGATCACTGAAGAAAAGGACCAGACCAGACTAACCATCAAGGCCTTTGTGTGCAGAAGACAATGCTGACCTTGGCCCTGGTGGCTCCCAGGCCGGGTGCCTGTTCTCTGCTACTGGGAGCTGGGGGTAGGGTGGCACGCAGACATGGCGAGTCCTTACCTAATCTGTAGCTTGCCCTGGGCAATGTGAGAGGGGAATGTCCCAAATGGCTTTAGGCCGGCACCAGAAAGAAGAAAATGAAAAACCATGTTAAAGATAAATCGAGCCGTTCTTAAAAGTTAGGAAAGGAGACTTAATTAGGAACACTCTCCCCATCCAAAACCACAAGAAGTTAAAATGGGAAAATATTTCCAGAAATGCCCATTATGTGTTGTTACAAAATATCTTAGGGTAAAATATACGTTTTATTTATACAAGCCTCCAGCTAAAAATCATGCTTGTACGCTCTCCCTCACAGAAGATGGGAATGCAGACCCAAATCTAAGCAGCCCCGAGTCCAATTTAGGTTGCTTGTGAGCACTGCAGTCTCTTTCGGCCAGGCCTTACTCTGGCCTCTCAAAAGGAGAAATGAGGAGCAAGGGATAAAAAGCAAGGCACAGGGAGGGGAAGGAGCCTCTCCTGATGGGCTGTGGCGTGTCCACAGTTGCTTCTATGCCACTAAATGGCCTTGTCTGTTGAGGTCCCGTTAGTGCCCGTGGCTGCACATCTGTCATCGCCGCGTCTGCTGTCCTCCGCCTGAACTCCTGGAAGGGCCACAAGTCATTAGATGAGGTCAGCCTGGGGTGGGGGGCGGAGAGCCAGGCTCCTGGTTCCCACTGAAGAGTGCATAGGAACCTCCAGGCATCAGATACGGGGTCGCCCCTGGCCAGCGCAGTCAGCAAGGCCATTAATTGGCCCAGATTTCTCAGAGAGCATTCAAAGGTGACTCATGCTATTAAAAAAAAAAAAAAAAAAAAAAAAAAGAAACCCGTGTCTTCCAAATGGCAGGCTTTTTTTTTTTTTTTTTCTGAACTACCGTGTAGGAAAATGTCTTTAACTTGATTATGTTTTGAAAAATGATTTCTTTATGACAAATCAGTCCTCCTTTCCAAAACCTGACTCGTCCTTGGAGACCATCTTGCTGCTCGAGTGTTTTAGTGGACGGCGGGGATTTGGGGATTCTTCCACCTCGTGCAGGCCTGCCTGGTTGGTGCTACTCTGGAGCTGACACAGGCGCACCTGAGTGAAGTCGGAAGCATGCGTTTGTCGTGGGCAGCGAGGACGCTGGGTGTGGGTGTGGGACGTAGACTCCTTACAAAGCACACCCGAGGCTCCGCGGCCAGAGCGGCCTTCTCTCTGTGCTTTGGAGGAGCCACACGCACGGCGACCCAGGGAAGAACCAACCCACCCGTTGTCTCTTATCATTTCAGTTGCGGAACGCCATGGTGAACCGAAAGACGGGCAAGTTTTCCATGGAGGTGAAGAAGACGGTGGACAAAGGGGTACATTTTTCTCAAACATTCTTGCCGCTTAATTTAAAACAAACCACGGTGAAAAATTAGCTTTGAAAGCTCTATCTGGAATAAATATCTTTCGCTGAGATCATTTTTCTCTTGTCTTTACTTATCTCAAACAAGATTCATGCAGTACTGTTAACCTGATCAGAGTGTGTCCATTTATTTTTATTTATTTCTGAAAACTTCACCTCACAGACTAACCGTGTTTTCTTTTCTCTACAACTTTTTTTTCCCCCCTTCCATCTAGAAACGGGTTTTGGTGATGACAAATGACTACTATTATACAGACATCAAGGGTACTCCGTTCAGGTACAGCTGATCATGATACATGACCATTCCATCAGGCCCATCTGTGGTGTTTGCACAAAACCCGCTGACACGCTCAGAGCCCACCCTCTGAAGATAACCAAACGCCCTGCTGAAAGGCTGGACAGACTAAGTCAGGGGCTTTTTCCACTGCTGCTTTTTTTTTCCCCCACTCCACAATGGGGAAGATGGTTCAGGCTCACCTGGTAGGACTCCTTTTGTCATGGCTTTGCCTCTCAGTTTTGAGCAGATTAACTTTGGGGGTTCCCAGCAAGGGCAAAGAGGCATTCAGAGAGTTACTGGGGTCCTTAACCATCTAGCCTGCTGCCTCTTGCCTCCTATTTTGCATTTTATTTCCATGCCCAGAAGCGATTCTTCCAACTTGGAGGTAGCCGGTCCATCCCTACCTGTTGTGCTTCTGTGTCTGTCTGCCGTTGAATTGCTGGTTTCTCTTTGTCACAGTCCTGAAAAAATGATTATCCTCATTGCTTGCTGTCGGATGCATATGCAGCATTGTGAAGTTTCCTGCCACTCTTAGTGTCATTATGTTACCGCTTTGTTCAAACCTATTTCAGTAAGTCTTCTTCGTATTCCTGAACTGGTGTCTTGCTCCTAGAGAAGTGAGGAGAGAAAGAGCTGACTGCCTACAGATGAATCTGAAACATAAATTCTAGCATCACTGCCAAATGCTGCCAAGCGGATTCCATTGGAACAAGGAACAATCCAGAAACACATGAGCTGCTGGGAGGGTTTGCCAAATGAAGAGACGATGTTTTTAAAACATCATCTCCTACATTAGGCAAAAGCAGAAAAGAGCTTAAATCAATCCAGTGAAAGTATGGAAAACCTATTAGACCAACGAGAGGATTGGGCAAGGGAGTGCACAACACAGTCATGTGGCTGCACTCGAGTGGCAGTGGAAGTTTCTGTGTTTGCCTGGAGAAGGGATCATGTTTTCCTCATTCCCAAACACGAGGGTCTAGAAAGACCTATCTTGGGCTGAATGCTGGGCTACGGTGCAGAAGGCAGTAGGCAGGAGCAGGGTGCACGGCCCTTTGGGAGAGCGTCCGAGAGAAGGGCTTTGCTGAAAGTGTGTGCTATTTGCCACAACTCTCAAAAACACACACAATCGGCCAATTGCTGCTGGCATTTCCAATCAGAAACTACTTTGAAGCAGCTGCATGAACCTAAGAAAAACCAACACCCACTATAATCAGTGGGGTTTGAAAGTAAACTGTTAGAAAAATTGTTTACAGAACATGAAATGGAAATGCGAAAATGGAAAATGAAAAAAAAAAAAACCAGAAAATCATTCGCCCACAAGTCTATTCCAGTGGACGCCATGGGTCTCAAGGTCTGCTTTGTTTCTCCACACAGTTTAGGTGTGGCGCTTTCCAGAGGCCACGGGAAGTACTTTTTCCGGGGGAATGTGACCATCGAGGAAGGTAAGGCGGTGCCTTGGCTCAGCGTGTCGTGTGGCGTGGGGAGAAAGCTCTGGAGCCAGCTACTGGGCTAACTCAAGAGCTCGCTGACACATGCAGATGGCTACCTGGTCACTTGGGTACTGGACTCAAGTAATTGCGCACTGGATGTGACCCTTCTTGCCAGTTTGCCCAGGTTGCAGAACTACAGGGACCTTAATCAGGGGTGGCCCTCTGTGGAGACTCAATTTATTTGTATTCTGCTTTCATCCACAGAGTTGTTGTGGCAAGTCAGTGGAATCATTTGCCAACTGTATTGTTCTCGTACATAAAAATCAGTGCCAGGAAAAACACAATTTAATGTAAAAACTCAAGCCCAGGGGAAACAAATGAAAACACAGATACAGAAGCCTCAGTCTCCTACAGAGTTGAGCCACAAATTTCACTTGTGTTTCCTGGCAGCCCTAGCCCACAGGGCGCTGTGACCATTTACGTGATTTACAGAGTTTGGAAGGAGAAAGGAGCACCTTGAGGCTCCCAGGCCCTCTTGTCTTCATAAAGCACAGGTGCACAGTGGCTGTTGCTGCTTCGATTTAAACTTTAAAATTGCTGTCACACACATCCTGTCTTCCTCTCCCAATAGAAGCAGAGAGAAATTCCTTTCCCCAGTGTCACGAGCACCCAAGGAGGGGTGGGCATAGTTTCTGGAGGGCTCCGCTCCCACAGTGGGCTTGAGCAGGTCACTTACTCTCCTGGGCGTTTGGTTTTTCATCTCCCTGGAGAAGGAGTTAGACCAGAACATTACTCTTCCTGGGTAAACCCAGAAATGACGGCCGAGTGCAGGAAGGTCAGTTACAAGCCAAGTTTTATGGTTTAGAACCGGTTACAAATTGAATGTGGTGACTTCCAGAAACTGGACCACCCATGGCTTGCTCAGATGACGTAGCAGAGATTGATGGTCCCTAAGACACCAAGTTCCACAGAGGGCCATCTGGTTTACTGTGATTGTCCCTACATTGTTTCACAGATGTTGGTTTATTCTCCAAGTGCCTGTAACATCTCATGGGACAGAAATGAGAGGAGAGGGGTTTACTGTGGAGTCTGCGGAGCTCAAAGTGTGCCCGCCACAGGGTCAATCGAGTGTCTCGCTCTCTTCCGGAGACACACAAGGAGAAGACAGGCAACTTTATGGCCAGGGCTGGTTACTCTACAAAATGTGTTCTCAGAGATCCTGTGTTAATTTCTGGACTGTTTTCCTAGTCCTATGGGCCAAGTGTGGCTCTGTGGCTATTGCTGCCTGTGAGGTCAGAGAAGCCATATCTAAGCATTTGAGATCAAGCTGAGGAAACCACTCGTGGTCAGAACAGTGGGAGGGGAGTTGAGTCATGGGTTGCTTGCCTTAGGTGTCCATTGCCTTCGTCAATCCTCAAGACAGGGGCCTGTCCCTCCCTGTCCACCCTACTGTCCCACTGTCCTTCTCCCTCTCCTTTTGTCCTCTTGTGCTCTCCCCCCCTTTCACACACACAGATACACATACACACCCGCACACACACACACACACAGTTGTTTTGCATTGTCTTTTGGATCATTTTCTTGGGTCACTGTCTTCTTCCTGTATGGTTCACAGCTGTTAAACCAAGCAGTCATATAGAGAGAATTTCAGAGCTAACTATAACCACCATGCAAGAAATTTGTTTGAATCCTCAGCAAGGGGGAGAGTGTCTGGTTATCCACACAAATGAGGTCAGATCTTCCTCTCACTGTTGGTCCTTTGTACATAAAAGGCCTTATGCTCCTGCCAACTTCGCTGAGTAATAGGAGCTGGGAAGGCTGCTTCCCCTCAGGCTGGTAAGTCGAGGGTCTTGTCAGCTCTAAAGCCCTGGCATGACTGTTGTTCCTGGAGAGGGAAGGCCTTCTCCAGGGATGACAACTGCACAGCCATAGGATCTTCAATAAGGAATGCTTCCTTACAGAGTGTAGCAATTTTCCATAAGCATTGCCAGTGCCAGATACTACAAAGATGGCAAACAGGTAGATTTGCTCAAGAATTTGAGATGTCCCTACTGAGGTGAAAGTTCTACCTGCTGAAATTGTTTCTCTTTGAGTTCCCTTTGGCATTTTTGTTGTTTCTTTTACATCCATTGTACACATTAATTGTCTGGTAAATTTGGGCTTATGTCACTCTTGTCAGCAGTACCTGTCAATGGATGTGATGTTGTTAGAAGGACCAAGAGCAGAGGTGACAGAATTATAGAATAATGAAATTGTATTGGTGCCCTAAGAATTCAGAGAGGAAATCAAAAATATTTTCCTTTTGGGGTCCTTTGAAATATAATCAAAGTGGTATTGAAGGGTGAAAGTTGAATGAAACGGAAACTAGAAAAATAGGCAGATTTGGCATCCTTAACCCCACGTTCTGGGCAGGTGCGTCCTTGCACTCATGTTCCTTGTGCCACGAGCACTCTCCCGTTGTCTAGCTGACTCCACCCTCTTCCCTCAGTTCTTCGCTTGCAAGTTACTTTCTCAGCGAAGGCTCTCTTGACCACCACACTTGAAATTGAAATTTTCTCTCTTCTCCCATCTCTTGCCCCGTCCTCCGTATCTCGTCCCGTGCTGAATCTTCCATCATAGCCCTTGCTATCAACTCAGATGCTAAATATTTTATTTTAACTCTGTTTACTTGCCTCTCTTCTGACACTAGAAATTAAAGACCTTGAAGGCTGCGATTTCTGTTTTGTCCACTGCCGCAGCCTCATGGCCCAGCATAGAGCCGGGTACGGCAGGTTTCAGTGGAAATATTGAAAAGAGGAAGGAAAAGAAGGGACGAGGGGGTCAAGGGAATGCATATCGGGAGAGAGGAAGGGAGAAAGGGGAAAGGGTGCATGGATTGTCCTAGGGACGAATCAGTATCCCCTTTAGTCATGTGAGGGAGCTGGTGAATTATGTGATATTACTTGCATCTCATGGTTGATGTAACTCAAAGAGTTGACCTGACATTCCCAAGATCATTCAAGCAGTAGGCATAGGAACTGGGATGTGGAATGATATTCATTCTAATTTGCTAGTATTTTGTCTAGTATTTTGCTGTTTACTTATACATTTGTATTGGAAGAGGAAACTGGAGTCCTTGTTTCAGTAGGATATGATTGGGCATTCAGGAAACTGACTCCCTAAAATGTGCTGGTGCTGAAGTCACCACGGGGAAGTGTGTGTGTCTGCTTGTAGCCCACCGAGATGCGAGGAAGAGTGGTTTCTGAGTGTCTCAGCCTGTGTGGTGACAGCAGAGTACTCAAGGCTGGCTACCTTAATGAGTGAGGAGGTCTTAGAGGCTGAATGTTCAAGCCCAGGCAGCCCCAGCTGCTCAGACTTCTGGCTGCCTCACCACACGAAGGAGGAGTGACAAAGGAGACAGCCGCTTGCAGTAGAGCTTGCGTGCAAGTGAGGAAGCGTGAGAGTGAGGAGCGGCCAGACTCACTGTTAGCTCCCGACTCTCCCGGGAGCTAACCCCATCCTGGGAGGGCTAAGTTAGTCCCTTCCACAGGTGATCTGATCGCGCCTTTTTTTTTTTTTTTTTTTTTTTTTTGACAGGCAGAGTGGACAGTGAGAGAGAGAGACAGAGAGAAAGGTCTTCCTTTGCCGTTGGTTCACCCTCCAATGGCCGCCGCGGCCGGCGCACTGCACTGATCCGATGGCAGGAGCCAGGAGCCAGGTGCTTTTCCTGGTCTCCCATGGGGTGCAGGGCCCAAGCACCTGGGCCATCCTCCACTGCACTCCCTGGCCACAGCAAAGGGCTGGCCTGGAAGAGGGGCAACCGGGACAGAATCCGGCGCCCCGACCTGGACTAGAACCCGGTGTGCCGGCACCGCAAGGTGGAGGATTAGCCTAGTGAGCCGCGGCGCCGGCCTAGGCCCCGCCTTTTAAAGACCCACCACCTCTTCATTAATTCTCACAAAGATACTGTTAGGAGATTCTAACAGGAAAAACAGGACAAAGGATATATGGGGGCTCTTTGTATTATTACCTCACGATTTTGTTTTGAAGTTAAAACTATTCTGAAATTAAATGTTAAAAGTAATAGAATTAAATCTAAAATCTGATATTAAAAAAGGAAGAAGACTCACCATTATTCAGTGCAGTTCCACTGGGGACCAAGCTTCTAGCACACAGATCTTTGGAAGAAAAACAAGATCCAAACCCTAGCATACGGTTAGAGTGGCCTGGAGCATCCTGTTAAAAAAAAAAAAAAAAAAAAAAAGATACCTTTAGATCCCTGCAGACTCCAAGTCCCCTGCCCCGTTTTTCCTTGGGGTCCTGTAATAACTGGAAATTGTTGCTCATCACAAAGATTTGAGCGCTGACAATTCCATATTGTTTAACCTATAATTTCCCTCTGACAACCATCCATCAGTTAGGGCTTCTCCTTATTCCTGTTTTGCCCATGAAGAAACAGACCTTCAGAAAAGGAAAGTGCCCTGCTGACATCACACAGTAATGAGGTAGCCTAGCCCAGCTCCCAGCCTGGACTACATGGGGCTCCAGAGTGGGTACCTCTAACCATGCTGTTAAGTTTCTCCCCAGGGCTTGCCAGCACACTGCTCATCTTCAGGGGGTTTCAGGGCTTCCCGTGGGTATATGACCAGGAAAGGTGGCAGTGCTGGCTGAGTAAGGTAGAACTGGGGAGAATTCTGCCTGGGAGGAGCACTTGTTTCCTTTGTCAAGAGTCCCTGTTCCCAGGCAGGACCCATTGGGGTTGATGCCTACCTTTAGCTCACCTCAGCCCTACTCTAGAATCCTTAAAGCACACAGGAGGTTGGGGGAGTGGTGTTTACTCATTAGCACTTTCTTCTTCATCCCCAGGCCTGCATGATCTAGAACACCCTGATGTGTCCTTGGCAGATGAATGGTAAGAGTTTAACAGCCCTGTATCAGCATTGGTATTTGCTACCCTCCTTGGCTTCGGGTTGTTTTTGCTCCTTGATCAGTTTCACTGTTTAAAGGCCAAGGAAGGAGATACCATAAATGTCTATGCTCTTGTTTTGGTCTTTGTCATGATCTTAGGTCCTACTGCAACACTGACCTACACCCTGAGCACCGCATCTGTCTCAGTTAGAAGCTATTAAGCTGTACCTCAAAGGCAAAGAACCTCTGTTGCAATGTGAGTACATTTGAAGCATGGTGTGTGTATGTGTGGTGGTGGTGGGGCAACTCATGATCAGCCTCACCTCTGTTTAAGGGAAGCCTTGCTTTGACGGAGACTGTCACTCATATTAAATCCAGCCAAATGTCTGTTTCTCTAAGAACAGTAGACCGGGTTACTGCAAATTGCATGGTTTAATCCTTTGCCCTGGATTTGTCCACCAAGATCAAGCAGTCAAGCAACTGAATGGATGAAAAGGGACCACTGGGAAGGGACTTTAACACTTGCTTATGCAGCTCCCTTGTTTTGCAAATAGAAACGAAGGCTGGAGGTAGGACTTGTCTCCTCTGGAGGCACAACGCAGGCTTCTGGTCTTCTAAGAGTGGGTCACCACTAGGACATGTTGCCTCTTTGGGGAGTGCAGGTTCCACTTCCTCTCCTCCTAGTGAGGTCCTCTGTGGGAGCCTGCTACATGAGAAGTGGCCGATGGGTGGTGCGAAGAGCCAGGGCGGCAACAGCAAGTCTGGATGTCCACCCACAGCAGAGCAGAGCAACCCTGTGCCAGTGCAGAATAGTTCCAGTGCCCACGGTTTGGGGAGGGGAAGATTCAGCAGATGTGAGCATGGCAAGCAAGTCTGCTTCAGTGATGTGAAAAGTGCTTTACCTGTGTTTCTGTTGGAGTAGCCACAGCTATCCTGTGAGAGATAAAAGGAATCATACGGCAACTAAACGGCATCTTCATGAGAGGTTTACTCTGGTAGGGCATGGTCCTGATAGACAGCGTATGAATCCAATTGTTCATTTTCTTTGGCTTTTTCAATGACCTATTTATATAAATATACAAAAAAATACACATTTTAGTCATCATCAAGCTTTACCAAGTCTTAATAATTTGCCATATTTGATTTAGCTCCCATTTAGGGTATGGAACTTTACAGATTATGTTGAAGTCCCTGTGAACACCTGCCCAGTCCTGTTTCCCTTCCAAAGAGAATGACCATCCTGTATTAGTTCATTAACATCTTGCACTTTATACTCTTACTACATATAAGGTATTTGTAACTAATATAGAATATCATTTTCATATTTTGGATATTATACTTTATATATAGTATGATCTGTGAACTACTACATATAGTAATCCATATACTATGTGCATATATACATACGTTTAGTCTTCCTAAGCTCAATAAAATGTATAGTATGAAAATGCATATTGCAAAAATGCGATTTCAAAAAATGTTTGGACTCAATATGCATTATAAATTAGGATATTATGGAAAAATTAAGTATAGATTTTTAAACTTTTTGCACCAAAATATTTATCTTTTCTATTTTTTCTTAGACTTTTTAAAGTACTCCCTTTTGTACTACAGCTTGTATTGAATCCCACAACATAACTGTATCTTAATTTATCCATCGTCTCAGGATGATGAGTTGTGTTGCAGCCAGGTTTTGCTTTTTAACAAAGTTCAGTTGTCTTTTTGGACCCCAGCCCTGGTGAGGACTGGCCTGCCTCTGCAGAGAGACTGGAGAACTAGGGTGCCTCTCCTGGGCTCAGGTCTCCCCTTCAGTGCTTGACCTCTTCCACAGGCTCCACCAAGGTCCCTTTGGAGACAGACACCCCCGTTAAAAAAATACTTAAATGGAAGGAATCACAGAATAAGAGTCATTGCGTTATGGCCTCCCTTTCCTATCTTACTACCAGCCGTGAGCAGGGTGCTGAAGAATTGCAGGCTTTGGTAGAGGACAAAGGTAGGGGACAAGAACTAGCTTCCCACAGAGTTGGTTTTCTTGAGGTGTCCGCTCAGGGAGTCAGCCTGTGGGTCCAGGGCGTGAACTATGCAAGACGGGGAAAGAAAGCAGAAAACGATGTCGCAGACATTGAAGCCTCCTGATTTACTATTTTCCCATCCAAATGCTTTGGAGGTCCCTGTGTGTTGGCATATCAGGTGTCAAATGGTAAGTGCAGCTGCTGTAGAAAGTAGCCTGCAGATCCTGCAAAATGAGCCCAGGGGGCGCTGCTCACGCCCCTGTTCAGCGTCCAGTCACAGCGGTCTGCTTACCTGTGTCTCCCAACAGGTGATAAGAACTGATCCAAGAAGTCCTCTTTGATGCCGTGGTGACGCCCCCATTGAAGCATATTGACCAGCCTGGCACTCAACAAATCTGAGTAAGTGGTTGCACGTGTCTGCCGTTCATGGCCATTTCCTCGCCAACGCTCCAAAATATGGTTATGGTTTAAAGAACTCAAGTGTTTTA